TGACTGCTGTTTGTTTTTAGGATGTGATCTGGTTTTTCATGTACATTTTTCGTGATTATGACTATTCTGGATAAAGAATGTTTTGAGCAGAGGTGGATTCAAGGCCCCCCCCCCACCTTCATTTTTTTAAGAAAAATAAAAGAAAAATATATTCAAATTGAAGTGCGAGAGTGTAATTTCCGGACATCTAGAGATGCCCTAATCATAAATTTTCTTACCTCAGCCCCAACCATGGTGGGGCTGAGGTGGGTGGTTCCACGGTCTGTGAAAGTCCCTCCCTGGTTCACCTCTCTTTCGAATTCCTCAATCTGCCACTGTTGATTTATTATATAATTATTTTTGCGCTTATTTATAATGCGTCTATTGCAATTCTCACGTTATCCTCTCAAACAATCCTAAGAACGTTCGGAGTGCGCTACTTCACAGAGGGATTCGCCCCCCCCCCCTTGACCCCGCCGGGGTCATACATAATTCGCATAACGGCTCCCCCCCTTTCAAAATCCTGGCTACGTCCCTGATAGATACTCGTATTATTTAATATGTAATACGTAGGCCTACAAAATAATAATAATAATAATAAAATAATAAATAAATAAAAACATAAAATAATATAAAAATATAGCAGAATGCATTTGTGAAGCATAATGGGGATCTCAAGTGAACGCCAGCAGCAGTGATTCTGTCAACGGTATCGTCAATGATGGCCAGATGTGTCTTCTAAGGTAGACGGCTACGTAACAGTAACTTTACATAATGTAAAACACCCCAAAACAACACAATGAATACAGTGCACCCTCCAATTCGAGATCCCTCTAACTCCAAGACCCCTCTAATCCGAGACCACTTTTCCAAAGACCCAACCTTTGAACACAAAGCTAACCCTCTAATTGGAGACCAACCCTGAAACCACACCAAATTTCCAGGTCCCAACGGTGGTCTCGAATTGGAGGGCGAACTGTATATCATTGATATTTAAAAGCTTAACCATCCTGTCTCCCACTAGGACTTCGCATCAGACCCGAATGATCTCCATCTGGAATTTTTTAGACTTTACTGTCTGATAGCAGCTCAGCTCCCCGTTAAGCAAATCTCAGCGCCACCACACGGGATAAATGAGCACAATATACTGCAAAGTATACTGTAATAGATCTCTGTCAAATATACAACTATGATATAAGATAGTATAATACATACTCCAGGTATCGAAATGCACGCCATCGTGTCGGGATTAAATAATTTAACATTAATTATGTCATGATCAATGATAATGACATAATTACGAAATATTTAATCCCGACACGATACGGTAGCATGGCGTGCATTTCGATACTGGGAGTAGGCCCTATGTATTATACTATCCTAACTATGATATAATGTGTGATAAAATATAAATGCACAACACCCCAGAGAGAAGCCAGCTCAGTCGGCTAAACTGGTGGTAGCCAATGTGTGGCGCTGCACCATGGAGATCTCTTGGTCCCCGGTTCAATTTCCATCGCTGATCTCCCAGCTGGAGAGCTGAAACTCAAGTTTAAATAGTGCACCGTCTTTCGGATGAGACGTTTATGCAGTTGGTCCCGTGTGTAAAATAGCTCACGTTAAAGAACGCAGTACACTCTTCGGAAAATATGTACGGTACTGCTCAAGATCAGTACCAGAAGGACACTACTGGAAATAAGTCTTAGGGCGTTTGTGGGTTATCTTTGGTGTGTATCATACCGAAGCAATCCATCCATCCAATAAATGATATAGGCCTATTATCGAATATAGGCTGTTCGCTCCGACGTTTGGTGTAATATATCAAATATAGTTTGCTTGTCCTGTAATACTGTTAGGAATGCATGTTCTTAGTTAATACTAATAGAAACACGTCTTAGTAATCACAAATCAATACGGAAAGTATGAAACTGACACAAATTTGAGCCTCTACGTTAATTAGTGTTTTGCAGTTTGTAATTGATAGGTCAATAAAATGAGCTAATAGGCCTATATGACGGTCTTGCGAAACAGCAATTACCAATATTTGACACTTCAATTTCGAAGGTAGGAAGCTCTTAATGAACAATATTGGAGGAATGGTTTGTGAGTTCAAAAACAATGCCGATCAACTTGAAAACATCACTATTTATTGATGTCTTTTTCCGCAAACTGCAACAATCTAATTAACGTAGAGGCTCTAGATTTGTGTCAGTTTCATAATGAACGCCATGTTGAGTGTAAGACACCGGCGCTTTACAAGTTTTCATTTATTATTATTTTTGTTATTTAATTTGTACACATCACTTCCTACGCGTGTCTCCATCTAACTAGGCCTCATACCACACACACCATTAAGTCGGCTGACACAAAAGAGATTTTAATATTAATAAAAATGGTCGATTATAGAGCGCATATTGAAGAGACCCCTATGCGCTTAAATTACCTCCGGTCATTGGATGAAGCACATAGAGCACATAGGCCTACTCAGGTCTCAGTCTATATCGATTTTATCAATTCTATTCAACATACAGGGTACCTAATTAAAGGTGCAAAAACATAAACTTTCTTATAAAATATTCAAATCCTTAATAAATTTGAGGTTGTTGGAATTATTACGTTATATAAAAAGAATACGATAGAAGCAGATATGTCTTTGTTATTGAGTTTGACTGTTTATGCAATCGATCAATTTAACTCATATCTATCTCACAGTACTGACAATATCGCTTTTGTATTTCATTACTGACGAACCTAGACACTATCTTTTGTTATCTACGAAATTAAAGCTGTTTTATTATAATTGAAACGCATTTTATGAGGGATTTAACTACCACGCTGTTAATTTCGATTGCAATTTATTCATGTTGCTTTCAAATGGAGAATATTAAAACAACAATACAGTATTAAAAAGATACGAAATCAACATACACTAGAGATACAAATAGAGAAATAATATTTAAAAAAAGACAAGATCAAGAGGACAAATGTAACTTATGACATTGAGAGAATTAAAACCTAAAAGTATAGATGAATAAATTGGAATTAAAATCATAAAACGGGGCTAACATGTAGGTTAGTCGCAAGCACTAATTTTCAAAGGAAAGTGATTTTCTATCTGTGATAAGCTTAAACAAGAAATATGATTTAATATTTGAATTATATTTTGAATATAGGCTAATAATATATTTTCAATTGAATTTATAATTCATGAAAATAATTAAATATTCATGAATCTTTGAATAGATCTGGCGATCAATGTAATACTTTTTTTAAATTAAAATTTATGTAAATCAACGATAACTTATTGGTTGTAATGTGTATCACTTGATTTAATATTAATATTAATAACTTGTTTTAATTCCTTTAAATGGCCTATTCAAAGTTTAAATTCAAGTTTTTGATAGTTTTGCACATTTTAGGGTAAACAAACTGTGTACATCTTAATATGAATAAGAGCTATATTGACTTGCAAACGAGAGGCCTATGTGAATACACAGCATACCCATAGGAAGCATTTACTATTGATCAGGCCACAGAAGAAAGACTTACCTACCCCTACCCCATGGCTGATTTGTTACCAGTGAGGGGGAGGTTTATGTGGGACCTTCCAGAAATATGAATATTTTTGAAAGGGTGTTATTCTACAAAAAGGCCTCTTACTCTTACCGGTAGGTCAATGATTCATGAAAATATTGCATTCACAAAAGATAGGCACAATAATGCTACAGAGTGGGCTCAGAAAAGTGTATACTGTATTCTTGGGTTAAAATATCTGTGTACAATACCAGAAAGACTATTTATAATTTATGTTATCCACCGATTGAGATGTTTATCTATACCAGGGATGAGTGGTAGCCCCCTCTTTTCATAACATGATACAATATCAGGCACTTTAAAACATAGAACTACAGTAGTTAATGAGAAGAAAGAGAAAGCCATTCTTACGCCCGATTCTGCTACTGTCATTAGCATGACATGCGACTGTCTGTCCAATTGTATCTAATGATAGTACTGTACAGAATCGGGCGCTACTTACGATGCATCTTCTCTTTCAATCAATGCCTCTTTCAATTTATTGTCATTCGAACAATCTTCCTTGCTGTTAATCTGCTCCACCTCTTTAGAGAATTTGACAGTTTTACTGTCTGTATTTTTAGCGTTCTAAAATGCATAAAGAAAAATACAAATAAACATTATTATGATAGAGGTTTCTCATTATAGATGATGTTATTAAAATTCGATATGATTATGATGATAATTGTCTTCTGAACTGTATACGTTCATGCACAACAACACATGCACAGTATGAGGCCCAGGTTTTAACCCAGTATTTTACTAACTTCCTTCTACTTCTAAAAATAAGTAAGCTTAAAATACTAAAAATGCAGAGAAAAATAATCTAAATAGCTAAATTCATAGTTTTATATATATATATATATATATAATTATTATTATTGCTGTTATTATTATTATTATTATTATTATTATTATATGTTAATATATTATTATATACAATGTGACTGTGAATATCTGGCATATTCATGTCAAGGTCAAAGCGTGTAAGCCTTTCCGCGTGACGTACCTTCAAATCAATATCTGAAATCCCATCTTTGTCTAAGTTTTCAGGAAGTGTTGAATTCTGTACAAAAGCGATGCAATACGATATTAACTAGACATTGGCTATTGTTAAGTATTTAATAAAGATGTAGAAAATGCAATCAATGTAACCTAAACATACGATGATATAAAGCCTGGTTTTCATAGAATCGCTACATAGTCGCTCAGCATTTCCACTGCTTTCTCCGCGCAACGCATTCGGGAACGCTTCCTGATTCAGTTGGCCAATCAGCGTCGCCAAAGGAATCAGCGAAAGCGTGTGGCGATTTTTATGGAACCTGGCTTTGCATAACACTCTAGGTTTAATTTATATATACATATACCGTACTATGAGATAAACGCAAACACGCATTTTGTTTTGTTAGAAGTAATCATGTTATAGGCCTGAAATATCATTATACTATAAATTATTATTATT